GGTCTTCCTCTTTTCCTCCTGCCTAGCAGCTCCATCTTCAGCATCCTTTGTCCGATATATCCACTCTCCCTCCTCTGCTTGTTTCCAAAACCATCCCAAACCCCCTGAACTCACTTCCACCCACTCCACCTCACTGCCTGTTGCTTTGGATACTTGATCCCTGTATTTAAACTACCTTTGCACCTTCATGCTGACCTTTCCACCATCTCCCTCCATACTCCAGTATTCTGTCTGGCTTGTACAGACTTTCATTAGTCCAGTCTCCAGAGCATACCTCCACCTCTTAAGGCTCTCTTCCACCTGCTCTCTACTCTCACAATTTTCTCTGCAGAAATCAGGATCACGTATTAGTCAGTTTGCTCTTTTTAAATTCATTTCCATAAAAGTGTCTCATAGTATGTCTTCATTAAATTGCCCCATTTTGCATTTTTTCCTTTTAGAACATTATTTCTACTTGAGTCTTAATTCCTATAAATATGTAACACGAGCAAACTGGTCTCATACTACACATATAACAGAGTGTTCTCTGTTTTTTCTTCTAGTTTGTACTTGAACCGTAGCTTAAAGACCTCAGTGCAATGTTTCAGCATCAGCGAGGGTTTAGATTAGCACACCAGACACATCACAATCAGTGTTTTTACACCAAGCGAGGAGTGGTCCATGCAGCCTACAGCAGCAAAGCCAACAGCATGGACCAGCTCGTCACTGCAGTTAGTGAGGATCTTTTTCTCGCTGTTCTTGTGTCTCTAGAGAGACTTTCAGGCTCTTCCTGTGAACCATCCATACTAACAATTCTTAACACAGTCCTATAATGCAAACCACATTATAGTGCAATCTCTCTTTATTCTGGAGCCTGATGTATCAGCAGCACTGCTCACATGCTGGAGCTCTGTTTAACAGCTCTGCAGCAGCTGGCTGCCTCCTCTCCAAGTCAAACAGATGTTGGTAAATGTGCACTTGTCGTAAGGCATTTTAAGGTCGACTTACTCCTTCCTGCCTATAGGCAGAGTCCTCTGACTAAAATAGAACGGCTGTTTTCTAATTTCGATTTCAAATGTTAAAGGTCATGTTGGTCTTTGCTTTAGAAATTGGACAACAGTTTGAAGAATACCTGAAAGTATACTTTTTAAACACAAACTGATCAGGAAAATAATACCAAATAATAATAAAATAGTAATTGCATAATCAGTAGACTGAGACATGACTTTCTCATGGACTTTAAGGCCATTTTCCACTGTTTCCATGGTGTGACTGCTAACCACGCTCCCTAAGAAACGGTCAGCACTGTTGAAAAGCTGCATGTTAATCCAAACCACAACCACCAAACACCATCAAGTCATTGGTTCAGGTATGTGGATGACACCAGGGTGACAATTAAATCTCAGGACTTACCACAATTTACTAGATCTCATCATCTCAGTGGACCGACACATCAAATTCACCAGGGAGGATATGAAGAGTGGCAGGTTAGCCTTCTTAGAC